CGGCCGCTCTGCCGGCCGAGGCCTTCCGACGCGCGGGGCCCCGGCTCCCCTGGGCGACCCGCCAGTCTGCTCGCCGGATCGGGCCGAACCGCGGCTTTCTGGGTTCGTGCCTCTGGTGAGGACTAGGGAGCAACCACCGCACCCTCACCTGACCTTTGAAACTGTAGGGTTCCCACGTGCGCACACCAGACACACCCAAGTGACGCCCGAACTTCGCACTCCCGATTGCCCGCCCCCAGCTCCCCGGCAAACTGAGGTCTCGGCAACCCCTCCCCTGCCTTGTCACGCTAGGGGGTCTGGGAGCACAATGGCCGGGCCTGAGGGCTGAGCCCTGGGCGCGAGGGCTCATGTTTGCCCGGGGTCTAGAACACCCCACTCCTGCTTCCCAGAGCTAGGACCGAAGCCGAGGGCAGCAGCTCTACCAGCCCCTCCGCTGCCCCCAGAGGTGGAGCTGCGTTGGGGCAGCTTTTCGTTGATGGGATCGTGAGGGCGGGAAGCGAGAGCCTAACTGCAAGGACCTGGTGGCGGAGACTGGGGCGGGAGGTGGCGCTAGCTCAGGAGTTTTTAACTTTCAGACGCCCAGTTGCTAGGGCATTCTAGCTCACCAACTGCCAATTCCCCCTCCGCCCCGCAAAAGCCTCCACTCCTGGGCCTGGTCCCTGGGCCTGCCCGCAGCCCCCGCTGAGTGGGGAAGACGCGTGGCGCCAGCGGAGCGCGGAGTCCCCGGCATGGGGGCCGCTGGTGGCGGCGGCTGACGAGCGCCGGGAGTCCTCCGACCTTTTTGCTCTAAGAAGACCCCACCCACCCCCCGCCCTTTTTCCCCGGCCCAGGGAGCCGGTTTTGGGTTTTAAAGAGTCCATTACTCCGAAAGCATAAGGCGAGGTTAGGTCTCAGAGGGAGACAAATATGGTTTCCATCTGATCAACGACATGCGGTGGTGAATAAAATTGCGACGACGTGGGCTGACAACAACAAGAGACAACTCTATCCAGCCCCAATTCTCCAGCGATTTGGTGGTTTTAGGGATCACGGAGACACTTTTTCTTATCTCCTCCCACCCCTCCCCATAATACCCAGGCCCTTCTATAGGATTTAGTCAGTCTCTTTTTCAACAGATGCTACAATGTTTTGATCCGCGCTCTAGAGCTGAAAAGGTGCCGCAACCGGGTTGCTATCTTTTCTTGCTTGTTTTCCGCCTCACTGATTAAGACACTAAGAAACTAAGGAATGATTTTATTTCCCAGCGTCTTTTTCTTTCTTTCTTTCTTTTTTCTCTTCTCCTTCTTCCAGGAAACAAATCCTGTCCCGAGCGTCAGATGGTCCTGGGGCCGGGATAATGGGAGGCGCTTTCACTCGCCTTCTCGCGGATTAGGCTGGAAGGTGGACGGTGCCCATTGAAGGCCCCTTCTTTGCGCTCCGAGGGGGCGCCTTTTAAAGAAGATATCTTAATTGTCTTCCACTTAGGTTTATCATGTGGGGAATTCGAGATCCAACTTCTAGTTTTATTTTGCTAAAAGCTTTAAGAGTGGAAGGTAAATCCATTGAAGAGAAAAGGGGGACGGCGGCGCCCAGTCTAAGAGTGACCTCTCCAGCCCTGCCTGGCTGCGAACAGTTGCTACTTTGAGTAGCAAACAAACTTTCCATGGTGCACGCTCGCTCTGCGGGTCGCGGAGGGATTCTGCAGCCAAGGGTTTCTCCTGACGCGCCTCTAATTCCACTGTTGTGTTTTTCCCCCACGCCCCTCACAAAGAGGTTTAAAATCGAGCTCTCCTCATCCTCGTTGACTTTCTTCCCCTTAAATGTCTGTTCTGAAGTCAGCACTGCGCCTGCTTTCTGAGTGTGATTGTGTGTGTGCGTGGGGGGGGGTGTGTGTGTCGTGGGAGGGAGGAAGGAAGGGAGAGAAAGAGAGTGTGCAAATGTCCACCTTTTAAAATTAGAAAAACGTCAGAGAAGAAACCCGAGCAGAGAATGCTATCTGCGGGGGTCTTCTGAGGCAGACCCAGTAGCTTTGTTTAATTGGCGAGATCGAATGTGCCAGAAAAAGGACTGAGGTGGGGCCTCCTGAAGGCGTGAGTGGTCACTCCGGCGAAATGGGATTGCGTTCTCCACAGCGCTCCCATCCCTAAAGGTCGAATGATCGCTGGTTTTCGTTTGTGCTTTCCAAAAACAATAACTGATGGGCCTTTCTAGTTGGCCCAAAACGTGTATTTCTAAAGTCTTCCTCATTGACCGAATCCGAATATAAAAGGAACTCTTCATTTCGTTCCCTGAAAACACTTTGAAAAGTCACCGGGAAACTTGGGGCAATAAATTAGCGCAGACACTGGTGCAGGCACACATTAGTGAGCTGTCACTCCCTCAGCTGAGCAATCCCCTCGATGCCCTCCACCTTTCTGATGTAGCGCAACAGGACCAAAAGTAGAGCCACGGCCCATTCACTAAGTCTCTCTCTGTCATCTTCTTTTTTCTCTTTCCCCGTCTTCTTGGACCCTCTCCTCTGTTTTTCCTTTCAGCGCTCTTTTCTGTCTTTACACCTTTCCAGCCTCTGTCTCTTCGGAGCCTTCTGTCTTCCTCCAACTTTCTGTACCTCTTCCCTCTCCTACTCCCCAACCCCCCAGCCAGGCCCCCACCCCTCCTCCCGGCTTCCCTCCCCCACACCCTGCACCCTGGTCTCCACTCTCCCTGCCTGCCCTGCTCACTACCCCCACCATAAGCCCCCGGTCCTCATCCACCGCCCCTGCCTTCCTCCACCCCCTGCCCTGGCCCCCCATCCATTCCCCCCCAACTAAGCGCCCTAAATAGCATTGAGGCGCCCGCACTTCGGACAGTGATTAATGATAGCAGAGCAGAGGGGTTAACACACTTCACTGAAAAGTCTGTTGACTGGGCTTCTTGTAACACAATGTGGCCCGCTGCACGCCTCAAGAGAATCCTTTTGTTGTCCGCGCTCATTGTGGCCTCAAAATTCTGCCCACGAAAGTTTGCCAACGCTCCTGCCCCAGGAGTTTAATAGTTTCCCTTACTCGCGGGGCATTGTGCGGCGCTGAAAAGCAGCCCCTCGCTATTCAAGTGTTGGTGGTCATCTCAATAGATCTCCAAGGGCCCATATGGTGGCCAGTGCCGATGAATCCGCCTGTTTAAATGGGGGAGAAAGTTGGGGTTTTAAAACATTTCAGAGTTCCTGAAAAGATCCCACTAGATCCTGTCACAATTCCCTGAACCCTTTGAAGGCGCTGCCTATTGTCTCCTGGTTATAAATGATATTCCTGGCCAAGTCGATTCCCACCAAGGCCCCCTAGAGGCCCCTCCCCCCACTGACCAAGTTTCTAGGTTGGGGGTGGGCAGCCCCTGTTGGTATCCCTTGGGGGCCTCAGGACTCAAGACCCTGGACCTAGCATGCCGTGGCCCTAGGGGCCCAGCCAGGGCTGAGTCCTTCCCTTCAGACAGGCTGTGGCCTCTCCAGCCAGGCGCAAGAGGAGACAGCTAGCCTTAGAGCATGCACATCTTGCCCTCCATGCAGCAAGGGGAAACAATAAAACTTTCCCCTGTTTAATGATAGAAATTACATTAAAAGTGGTGGAAATGCCCTAATTAAAAATGTACCACTGAAATGATATGCCAAGGATTCAGCTGCAGCATAGCGTATTTAGCTAGTTAGTGAACTCGCTACTATTTCTTTTTTAAAATTACACGTTAAAAATTTAAAAGAAATCTTACTTTCCTCTGGTGCAACACATTACAAAGAATGGACAGTCCTTTTATCTAAATATAAAATTCCATTTTCAGCAATTATAGCCTGTTCTTGGTGATGATATAATTACAGCTGTGCTCGTAATAGGTGTCAAGGCAAAGCACACTCATACAATAGTTGAATAAAACTGCAGAACAATGCGAGCACTTGTAAATTCACAACCTTGAAAATGAAATTGACTGTGCAGAATTCAAATAAAAACTAGATAAATATTTTTTTAAAGATTACAAGCTTGGTTTGGTTTCTTAATAGCATTTTCTACAAACCTATCAACATCTCATTGATTAGATAGGAATTACTGATTATAGATCAGCTGAAATCTTGAACATCACTCTCTTACTTTCCCAACACAGCCATAGGTAAGTAAATTCTCTAAGGAAAAGGAACTGGATGAGGCATTTGGAGAGTCAAGGTTAGTTATGAAAGATCATTTTAATTGGAAACTTTAGCACCTGTTTTGTTATTCAACAAAACATATAGAGTGGCATTAAGAGTGTCATTAAGATAATCAGAGTATGTGTAAGTGTCTAAATTGTACAGTCTCATCTTGACCAAGACAGAAAGAAAATTGTGGTCAGGTAACATAGGTCACTGACATCTTTTATTGAATGAAGGCTGACAGTTACCTTGGGAGTTTTGGTGAGACTGTCAGAATAGACTGCTCTTGGAGTTTGTGGCTATATGAGGCTCCTTTTGGAGGCTCCAAGTTATTCCAAATTTCTCTTACTGTCCTATTCTTTTTGTTCCAGATGGCTGCCAGCAACAGGAAGGAGGGGGAGAGAATACCAACTCCATCAGTTCCAATGGAGAAGATTCAGATGAGGCCCAAATGAGACTTCAGCTGAAGCGGAAGCTGCAAAGAAATAGAACATCCTTTACCCAAGAGCAAATTGAGGCCCTGGAGAAAGGTGATGGAGTTTTTCAAAGTAGAGAAGCAGTAAATCAAAGTAAATGCCACATCTTCAGTACAAAGAGCTAAATTTAGCCAGGGCCCTTGCACAGAGATCTGAAAAGGTTTCTTTTTCTGTCTTTTTTTTTCTGGGCATCTTTTCAGTGTGTGTTTCCTTTCTTCTTTTCATGTACCAGTAATTCAAAGACAAAAAGTCTGACTTCTCATAAAGAAAAAAAAAAACAATGATATGGCTAATTCAGGCCACAGAAGAGATCTTGAATGAATGTCATTCCAAAGAAAATAGAATTTGCTTCTGATGGGATAGTTCAAGTATAATCAATGCTAATAGTAGTAGCATTTTAAAGAGAACTGGTTGGAGGTGACAGAAGTGGGGAAGCAGGAACCAGCTTGATTCAAGGTTTGATTGACATATTTTGTATAGTTCTGGCACAACATAGAAAATGCGACTTACTCTTTCAGAGTTTGAGAGAACCCATTATCCAGATGTGTTTGCTCGAGAAAGACTAGCAGCCAAAATAGATCTTCCTGAAGCAAGAATACAGGTACCCAGGGACTGTGTGTTCATGCTTTGTGATTCATAGCATTTGCCTTTTCTAGAGACACAGATGCTTCTAAGGAATGCCATTTGTTTATATAAATAGTCAAAGACTCAGTTTGCTGAATGCTTTGTCACCGCTGGGGGCTGGGGGAGGAGGACAGCAGACATGCCAGGAGTAGAGAGGAGCTGGCAGCAGGCGCAGGGCTCACCTGTTCCATCTGATTTCCAGGTATGGTTTTCTAATCGAAGGGCCAAATGGAGAAGAGAAGAAAAGCTGAGGAATCAGAGAAGACAGGCCAGCAACACACCTAGTCACATTCCTATCAGCAGTAGTTTCAGCACCAGTGTCTACCAGCCAATCCCACAACCCACCACGCCTGGTAATTTGGAATATGAATACTCCTCATAAGTGTGTTTCAGCCTGTTTGCCCTTGGCTTTGATCCTCACCATGACCGTCTGTCGTGTGCCTCTCCCTGCAGTTTCCTCCTTCACCTCTGGCTCCATGTTGGGCCGAACAGACACGGCCCTCACAAACACGTACAGTGCGCTGCCGCCCATGCCCAGCTTCACCATGGCGAATAACCTGCCTATGCAAGTAAGTGAGGCCAGAGGCGGCCTGCTTAACAGGACCCTGGGAGAAGAAGTGAGGAGTGGGTTGAGGCCTGCAGACCTCAATGGCCCTGTGTGTACTTTTGGGAGCCTTTCCCAATATAATGATTGGCTTGACCAGTGAGATCCGAAATGCAGACAGTCAATCCACTCTTTTAGTTGATTGATTAATTGATTGATTCATGCCTTTAATAAAATAAAAACTTGATGTTTAGTCAAGACAGTCTGCATTTTGCTCCTAGGGAATGTCAGTTTGATAAAGTTGGGTGAGAAGGGGGCATGTTCTGGGGACCAGTGAAACTTGCACCAGAAAGTGAAAATGAAATAAAGCTGGCAAGTTAGTAGATAGTAAGGAGTTAGTAAACGTAAAAAATTGGGTTTATATAAATATGTTCATTTTAATAAATACGTTCTGTATATGCATTTTGGATATTATTTAGGATGTTTGTGATAAACCAGTGAGGAAGAAGAATAGGATCAGAAACGGGATTCGCATTTGTGTAGTGCAATACACTTAACATAGAGAAAAGCTAGTTTTCTTTCTATACCTTACAATAAAAAAAGGAATGGAAGGTTTTGCTAGAAATTTAGTATATCTTTGCCATGAATTGTGTGACAAGTTTGTGGCGTTCCTAGGTGCCTGGAAGAGTTGAAGAAGAGTATTCACTTTCTATAAAACCTGCTCCTCCTCTCAATTCCATCCTAAATATTTATCAGCCCCTACATGTTCTAGGCTCTGTACTAGGTTAACCCTTTGTGATGGAAGTTGTAGAAGGCAGGTGGGGTGTACTTTGGAGCCAGAGAGATTCTTGATGGGGAAAAAATTGGCCTTCTGCAGTGACTTTCCCAGGACTCCTGTTCTGTGTGGGCAGCAGTTAGAGATGCCAGACAGTGTGAGATGGGCCAGCATGAGCCCCTGATGGAAACAGACCTGGGGTTATTCTCTACTGAGCATCTTTTGCTGGATTTCTAATCCAAATCACACCAACATAAATATTTTATAGTCTTTAGACTAATATAAAAGAGTAGCTAGATAAGCACCTTCAGAGGCATTATTCAGACGTCTATTTTTATTACATTTGGATATTATTGGCCATGGAGCAATTAATGTAAATTAAGGGATTAACAGCCCATTAGTTGGTGTTGCTATGACTGCCTTGGAATTTTCCAGACGTCAAGGTTGCCTAGAGGAAGTGATTTCAGGAATTAGAAACAAATGCAAGCTGAAGTTCTGGCAGGGCCCTGAAGGCCTGCTTGCCTCTTTGAACTTGGTGTTAGCATCACTCTGACTTTAATAAGGCCACTGAGTGTCTTGTTCAGTTTTGCAAATTGTAGCAACATCTAGGTTTCTATGAAGATAAAAAATGTGTGTGAGAGAAAACAACTGGAAACAATTAAATAGATGCTGCTATTCTGTTAGGGTTGTTTCCACATGTAGACTGGTGTGGGTCAATTTTTTTTCAAATACAGACTTTTAAAAATTGTACATACATCATTCAAACCATACATACATTCATAAGACATAAAGAAAATACACTTAACAATGATTCTACTATGCAGAGAAAATTGCTCTTTGAATTTTGGAGTGGGGTGAGAGCTGTTTTGTCTGTCCATCAATTTATCCTGTTGACCAAAATCTTCAACCATTTTGCAAAGGGTGGATGTTCTCCTCTGAACTTTCTCTAATACGTCCCTCTCTCTGAGGATATGGGTCTTGGAATGTTAAACATTTCTGGTTCACAGAGCAGAGAGTACCATCATGTCCCTTGTTCTTGACATTGCGCTCCTGTTAATTCACCCCAAGCTTGCTGCTCTGGCATAGCCCCGTGAGAGCTCATGAGGGGTTCCATCCCAGCTCTGTGTATTTTTTTTTCCTTAATTAAGAAAAAGGTTTATCTTTTCAATATCATGATTCCAGACGCTTAGAGCACAGCCACGCAGTCTTGCGGGTAACACCCAATCTCAGTTTTGGGGGCTGTAAGGAAGTCACAGCTGATTCTCAGGATGGGGCTGGGTTTTGCTGACACTTCTGACTACTTCAGGCTGAGATCATGACTGATCTGCTTCTTCAAAGGCTGTTTAAATCCATGAGTTCAACTATGAAGGGCTTTCAAGGTCCCTAAACCGAACTTTACGGTGAGCTCCTCCCACTGTTCTCTGCCTCAGAGCTTGAGATACAGGGTTTGGGGCAGGGGGGATGTCACTGGATTGCCAAATAAATTGGATTTGTGGGAGAGGGAGTATGTGTTTATGGAAGTCCTCATGTTACAGTTTCTCTAAAGGTGCCAGCAGAGGTCCAAGATAAAAATGGGCAAAAATTCTATTAATTTTATGAATAATGCCAATCATCTAGCCGGACAATTGTCTGAATTTTTGGTTCTTTAAAAACTTTAGTGCGTAGGCAACTTTAGCAGTGGCCAATAGAAGGACTGGTTGGAGGATGGATCGCAGACTTATCATAGGGAATTCCTGTGCTTTACCCGAGGGCATCGTCAGTGATCAGACTTGTTGGCAGGGTTCCTGGGGAGGTGGGAGCCTGGGGATATGGCTGTGCGGTGTGTCTCTCAGTAACCACCGGCTTGCCTTTCTCCTCTCAGCCCCCCGTCCCCAGCCAGACCTCCTCGTACTCCTGCATGCTGCCCACCAGCCCTTCGGTCAACGGGCGGAGTTATGATACCTACACCCCGCCACATATGCAGACACACATGAACAGTCAGCCAATGGGCACCTCGGGCACCACTTCCACAGGTGAGCCGCCGCTCTCCGCGGGCTGCGCAGAGGTGGCCTTTGCAGCTTCTTTAGCCAGGTGATCTCCCTTCACTCAAAGTTTACCTAGAAGGAATCTCCTAGCCTTGTGGGATGGGATGTTTAACTCTCTGATGCTCACTTCTCTGGGGAGAACGGATTAAAAAGGGAAATTCAGTCAAGCCAGCTGGGAACTTTTGATGCCATTTTGACAAAAAATCCAAAACTGTTTTTCCTGAATTTGGTCACGGAAGTTGTATATAAAGATAAGGCCTGAAAATGTAAGTTTTCTGAGGAGGAATGATTACATCAGCCAAAGCCCAACCATAAGGCCCCCTGAGTCTATTGGAAGTCCTCACTTCCCTCCTAGCCCCTCTGTGCCTTTCATTGCAGCTGAAAAAGTACCACTTTGGCTTTCCAGACGAGTTTTCTTGCTGAAATTCCAAACATACAAACAAATGGAGTTTTTTTGAGGGGGGAGTGGTTTGGGTGGAGGAGCTTGTGATTCAATAAGGATGTGTAAACATGTTATCTGGTTTCTGAAGGTGTTGCTTTTGTTTGTAAGACTTGAAAAAAATTTAAATACAGTTAACATGTTAGAAAGTATTAGAGTTTTTTTTTTTAGACCTATAAATTCATACTCCAAGCCTGTCTCTCGAAGGGAATATCTACATGGCTATTTCTTTCGTCCACTTCTAGGGCTCATTTCCCCTGGTGTGTCAGTTCCAGTTCAAGTTCCTGGAAGTGAACCTGATATGTCTCAATATTGGCCAAGATTACAGTAAAAAAACAAACAAACAAAAAACAATCAAAAAAACAAACAAAAAGAAAGGATATATTGTGTTGATTCTGTCAGTGACTGTGTGGACACAACAGTTGGGCGTTCAGGAAGGAGAGAAAAATGGCTGTTAGAAGCACTTCAGTTCTGCAGTTGTGTCCTGTGTCGTAACACTGGGGAGTGGACTTGAAACAAGGACCTTTGTACACAGAAGGCACGGTATCAGTTGGAACAAATCTTCATTTTGGTATCCAAACTTTTATTCATTTTGGTGTATTATTTGTAAATGGGCATTTGTATGTTATAATGAAAAAAGAACAATGCAGACTGGATGGATGTTTGATCTGTGTTGGTCATGAAGTTGTTCAAAAAAGAAAAAAAAGGAAACCATGATCAACAAGCTTTGCCACAACTTTAAGAGTTTTATCAAGATATATCGAATACTTCTACCCATCTGTTCATAGTTTATGGACTGATGTTCCAAGTTTGTATCATTCCTTTGCATATAATTAAACCTGGAACAACATGCACTAGATTTATGTAAGAAATATCTGTTGGTTTTTCCAAAGGTTGTTAACAGATGAAGTTTATGTGCAAGAAAAGGGGTAAGATATAAATTCAAGGAAGAAAAAAGTTGATAGCTAAAAGGTAGAGTGTGTTTTCGATATAATCCAATTTGTTTTATGTCAAAATGTAAGTATTTGTCTTCCCTAGAAATCCTCAGAATGATTTCTATAATAAAGTTAATTTCATTTATATTTGACAAGAATATTCTATAGATGTTTTATACACATTTTCATGCAATCATAAGTTTCTTTTTTGGCCAGCGGAAGTTAATTGTTCTTAGATATAGTTGTATTACTGTTCACAGTCCAATCATTTTGTGCATCTAGAATTCATTCCTAATCAATTAAAAGTGCTTGCAAGAGTTTTAAACTTAAGTGTTTTGAAGTTGTTCACAACTACATATCAAAATTAACCATTGTTGATTGTAAAAACCATGCCAAAGCCTTTGTATTTCCTTTATTATACTATTTTCTTTTTAACCTTATAGTGTGGTGTTACAAATTTTGTTTCCATGTTAGATTAACATTCTAAACCAGTGGTTACCTTCAGACATACTCTATTTTAAATTCTGATCATCCTTAAAGAAATAATTCTTATAGCTACTGTAAGTTGGAAATGTGTTCAAAAAAAATTCCACAAAGCTGTGTGTAGATCTGTGCCCATTTATAACCATAATATATATACAATACACAAAATGGTAACATTTCCCAGTTAGCCATTTAATTCAGAAGCTCACAGCCTAGAAATAATTTTAAAATGCAACAAGCTATTAACCAGGACTCGTCTTTTGAATTAAGGCTGGCATTTTCAATCTGGGCAGATTTCCATTGTCAGCCTGCTTCGACAGCGATTTCACTGAAGTATATTCAAAAGTAGGTTTCTTATACAAGATTCCCTGAAAGCTGTTGCCTTTCTCAAATAGGCCCTCTCCCTTTTCTGCCTCCCTCCCCTTTGCACAAGAGGCATCATTTCCCATTGAACCACTACAGCTGTTCCCATTTGAATCTCGCTTTCTGTGCGGTTGTGGATGGTTGGAGGGTGGAGGGGGGATGTTGCATGTCAAGGAATAATGAGCACAGACACATCAACAGACAACAAAGCGGACTGTGACTGGCCGGTGGGAGTTAAAGGCCTTCAGTCATTGGCAGCTTAAGCCAAACATTCCCAAATCTATGAAGCAGGGCCCATTGTTGGTCAGTTGTTATTTGCAATGAAGCACAGATCTGATCATGTTTAAAGTGGCGGCACGCAGGGCTGGAGTGCTTGAGCCCAAGCAAAGGATGGAAAAAAATAAGCCTTTGTTGGGTGAAAAAGGCCTGTCTGAGACTTTTATTTCTGGCTGTTCTGTGTAACATATAAGTCAACATGGATAAGTCTTCTCCTGCAAACTTCAGTCAAAGGCTTGGGGTCTGGCAGTCTAGATTAAATGCTTGCACAGGCAGAAACCTCTGGGGACAAAGACACACTTCCACTGAATTGTACTCTGCTCTTGTTTTGTTTTTTAATTCCCGAAAGCAGATGATCAGAAACATAGGAATTAATTGGAGGCTTTAAAAAATAACCTTCTAATTCAACATCTACTATTTTCTAGTTAAGGAATTACTTGTGAACAGATAATTGTGATTCATCTCTCTGGCATGCTGCATATTAATAATTTTTTTCCACCAGAGTTGCTGCACATTTAGAGAAACACTGACTACAGTTTTTGTATGTGTGACGTGCTTTGATTCACTGTTAGACTGCCCTGCACGCGTGCACACTTCAGCAGAGTGTGCACACGTAGGCACTGTTGGTACAGTTGCCCATGCAGGTATATCTACCTCCTGACATTTTGCAGCTTACATTCCCTGAGGGACATGTGCGCAGGGAGCTGTCAGAGGAGGGCTGTGTGTGAGTGTGTACAGCAGCTGCTGGCTGGCTCACTTCTCCCCTGCAAGGAGGATGGTTCCAACTGGCTGTGATTTGGGCCAGGGTCAGGCAGCCAGTCCTGGCCCGCGGCTCTGTTGTGCAGAGAGCAGAGACTTCGGAGAACCAGGTGTGGCATTCGGGAGCAGGAGCTGGAGACGGGAGAAGGGGAGTGTTGTGGGAGCGGTGGAGCTGCATGTGTGCACTTGGGCACGTATACGTGTCCTCTGAGGGTCAGGCTTGCCAGGGCGCAGTGGGTCAGCAGCCTGGTTTAGTCTGAAGAAGCGGCCGCTCAGCTGCAGAAGCCCTCTGGTCCAGCGGGATGGGACGGCTGCCTTGCCTTCTGCCCTCACCCTAGGGAGACGAGCTGTCCTTTTGAACGGAGCGCCAGGCACGCCCCCAGGGGCAGTGTGGCAGGCACTGTGTGGAAGCAGTGCACAGAGGTGGACTTTGACTCATTCTTGAAATAATTTGTTTTTGTTTATTTATTTATTGATAGGTATATTTATATATTTATGAATGGGAACTCTTCAGGGATGCTCTGATGCCGTTTTCCAAGATTATGGCCATCTATTTGTGATGTCCTTGGTAGAATCGCAAGACTCACAGCTTCTGATTTTTCTCCAAACTTGACTGACTTAGGGAGACCAGGTGAACAGAATTCAAGCTGAATGTTTGGGTAGGAAACATTCAAATTACTGAGTAAACAAATTTTTTTTTACTACAATGAATTCCTAGGCTATCCCTCCCCCACCCCAAAGCAGTGCCTCCTTTTAAATGGAAAGCAATTGGGCTTTTTGATACGGCTCACATAATTTTTTTCCTCCTTTTTCAAAAAAAAATCATAACTAGATTTCCTAAGGTTTATTCATACAGTATTATTCTAAGAATCAGGTTTGTTTTGTGAATTTTTGTCCTCTTAGGATGGTTTCCATATTCTTCTGCTTATTTCTTTTTTACTCTGGGCCTTAATGTTAACAAGATTTAAAAAAAAAAAAGGCTTTCTTCTCTGTATAATGTTTGGCTCACCAAAGCCAAACATAAGTTCTTCCCTTTTCTGTTTCCCAAGAGTAAACCTCATCTATTTTTTATTTTAAAAAACTTATTTTTTTTATTTTGCCTGTTTTGAATGACTTCACTGCTCAGTTTTAAAGTTCAAAGTGTAAGTACTTAGGGTTAGTATTGCTTAAATTTGGTGGTGTTGATGGTGACTATCTTTGGAAAGCATTAATGTGATGCTTTAGAAATGACATTCATAATGGGCTTAAACAAATGAATAGCACCCCCCCCACTTATGCTTTGTATGCGCATTTGTGTGTCTGATTATTTAAAAGATAGAGAATTGATTGCCGAGTGTTGCTTCCTTTTGAAGTAGTTTTATTTTGTCTAGGGTTAGTATTTGCAGATCCTGGAGGTGGAGATGAAGCATAAAAGGAAGAGAAAAGTGTAAATTGGTAGCCACTTAACAGAAATTCAGAAGGTCTCAGAACCCCAGCACCTGAGCAGACGCCAGCAGTCAAAATGTTTACCTCATGTTAAAGAAAGGCAAACCTTGCGTAAGAAATGAATACCATAGAGGATTTAGAAGTTTTAGAAACATTTAAAAGATATGAGGATGTTTCAAATACTGTTGGGCATTGCTGCTTAAATATTTTCGAGACAAATTGATAATTGAAAAAAAGTCTGTGAAGAGATTATATATTTCATAATATGTCAGAATGGTTTGTAAACCTACAGTAGCATTACTGAGGACCAACATTTTTATGTACTAGGTTATTAGCATATGGAGAATTGATAATGGTTCCAGAAGGAAAGAAAACACATTTTTAGAGTGGGTTTTTATCAGCGGAAAACATAAATATACATCCCTGTCCAGTAGCTTATTTTTACAAAGCATGCCCAGTGAGTCAGAACAACTTGGATCTGATTTTTGGAAAGCCCAGATACTATTATTGTTCAAAATGCACTTTTACTGAGTTTGAAAAGTTTCTTTTATATTTAAAATAAGGGTTCAAATATGCATATTCAATTTTTATAGTATTTATCTATTTGCAAAGCATATATTAACTAGTAATTGGCTGTTAATTTTATAGACATGGTAGCCAGGGTAGTAAATCAATGACCAATTAAGTATTTTTGACAAGCAATTTTCATATCTGACCATTTTCATATCTCCCATTTCCTTTTCAGAGTCCAATGCTATGTAATTGTCCTGTTGGGTTTGTATAAAGTGAATCACAACATGGTAAGAAAAAGGTTAGGCTTATTAAAATAATAACCCGACTAAAATATTCACTTTAGTTTATTCAGTGTTCATAATGCTTTCAAAAGACATAGCAAAGCTTTTGTGGAGTATCTGCATATTATTTATTATCTATGGACTAAATTGATTTTTTTGAAGTTGCTTTAAATTTTAAAAGCACCTTTGCTTAATATAAAAGCCCTTTAATTTTAACTGACAGATCAATTCTTAAACTTTATTTTGAAAAGAAAATGGGGAAGAATTTGTGTCTTTCGAATTAAAAGAAGTGAAAAAAATAAACCAGACATTCTAAAAAAATAGAAGAAACCTGATTTTTAGTACTAATGAAATAGCGGGTGACAAAATAGTTGTCTTTTTGATTTTGATCACAAAAAATAAACTGGTAGTGACAGGATATGATGGAGAGATTTGACATCCTGGCAAATCACTGTCATTGATTCAATTATTCTAATTCTGAATAAAAGCTGTATACAGTATGTGTTTATGCTACAGTGGGTTTTTTTTTTAAGTGACTGACATTCATCATATTGGTTAGACAGTTTTAAAAACCTAGTCTTTGTTTTCTACAATGTTGTCAAGAACAAATAAAGTATAATTTGTGGTATATTAAAAGCAAACTGCTTTAAAGTGCTACATATAACTGCTTCAAAATAAGTCTAAGGTATTTGAAAATGTATTTTGGAAATTCAGTCTTTCCTAACGGATGTTAAACAGCTTTTTAAAAATTGAGACTCTACTTAAATATGCAAGTTACTTTTTAAACTTTTGCTTTTTGTCTACTTTTTGCCAAAAGCTTTGAGAATATGGAACTATGACTCAAAAACGAGTGCTTTATATGAAAACTAGCTCAATCTGCTATATGTCTGAAAAGACATGTTTGTTTATATGGTTATAAATGTGCACACCTAACCAATGCTCATAATTAGCAAAGGGTTTACCTGATGCAATGCGAATCTCTGTAAGCTCCAGTTTTACACTTTGTCTCAGATCTCCGTTTTGTAAACAACCTCTCATCAACCTTCAATACGTGTTTTTCCGTAGTATCCTAGCATGAATGTAGCTGTCAGTTTGAATTTCAATTCTGAATTATGTCTATTGACATAATTTCATAGCGCTGACTTTAATTGTTTAGGAGTATTAAACAGAGACCATCAACTTCTTTGTCAATGTTTTCTATCACTCAAGTTCTTTTATTTATTAACTACTGTGGTAGACTGTCTTTAATGGAGTCTCTTTTTTTGTCCTTTTTCTTTTTTTTTTAATTGAAGTATCGTCAGTTTACAAGGTTGTATCAATTTCTGGTGTATAGCACAATGTTTCAGTATATATAAACATATATATTCCTTTTCATATTCATTTTCATTATGGGTTACTGTAAGATATTGAATATAGCTCCCTGTGCTGTACAGTATAAACTTGTTGTTTATCTGTTTTATATATAGCAGTTAGTATCTGCAAATCTTGAACTCCCACTTTACCGCTTCCCGCCCCCTACTCCCCCTGGTAGTAGTTTGTTTTCTATGTCTGTGACTCTGCTTCTGTTTTGTGAATAAGTTCATTTGTCTTTTTTTTTTTAGATTTCACATATAAGTGATATCATATAATGGAGTCTTAATACCACAATATTATTTTGTCTTCATCAATTTCATAACAGGAAGCATAAATGTGAATTCATTTTATTATAGTCTTCATATATTAGCTGTCAAACTTTTTTCATTTAAAAAAAAAAAACCCCAGCATTTTTGGTGGGAAGCAACTTTTTCAGAAATGAAGAGAAAATATGTTTTTCATATACAGTTTTGAATTTCATAATGTTTTATATGCTGCCTGCTGTAACATGCACCATGAGCTAAGTGCCTTAAATACACACACACCAGTGACTACTGTAAGGCATCTTGAATTTCTGACATTTTATTTGCTTTTGTTTAAAAATAAAATTATCTATTTTCTCTAGATAGAGCATAAAACAAAATTTTAAAATTAAAGTATTTCTAGTGTACTGTTTCTGTATAAAAAGTTGGTTAAATTAATGAAGAACGGTGGCCTCATTTTGCAATCCTAACTGTTTTTCAAGGATTGGAGGGTCAAATCGTTAAGAAAAATATTTACATAAGCTATTAGCAGTCATAATTAGAGTGTCATATAATTCTGCATGCAATGACTAAGGAGGAGTCACTAGAAGTCCAGGTGCTTCTTGCCTCCGGCCATCATGCCACAGCCTGGGTCCAGCAGCTTGGCGGATTCTGCCAGATCCTGTTTGCTCGAGCGGCTCACTGTGTCTGACAAGTCTGGAGGCAAATGCAGTCGCTATGGCGGAAGATTTCAGGAGAGGGAAAGAAAGAAGAAAAAAAATAATTAATTCTGCTTTTGCTAGCACACTTCAGGATACAATATTATGCTCTGTTGATCAGCATTTAGTCTTGCATATAAAATTCCTGCTTAAACAATTCCTCACAGTGAAGCCCACTATAATCACATCCTATTCCTACTAGATTTTACAAATTGTAGCCATTACAGAAACTGGACAAGGAATCTTAGTGGAACATTTCCAGAGTCCAAACCTAAATGTATTAAGATTTTTCTTATTTACGTAGAAATGAAAACATGCAAATGCACACACAAAAAGCATAATTTAACAAATACCACATAATACTGGCAGGGTTGTTTTTTGGCTTTGTATTGCTTTTTTTTTGCCAGGGGGCTCCAAAATGGTATTTTTCAATTGAATGTAGCTTTTCAGCAATTATGGATTCCCACAAATGCTTGTTTCCCTTTGTCTATTAAGTTGACCTGATCCTTTTCATTTCAAGCCTATACTTTATTTAAGGAACAATTTTCATAGACACATCTCATACTGACATAATGAAAAAAATTATACCAATCAAAGGGTCAATATTTTTCACATGCTCAGAAAAGTCAGCCATAACATGTGCTACAGGTCTTGGTAAGTTTGTTTCTATGCATTGTGTTGGGTCATGTGTTTAAAAGTACAGTGTAACTTTGAACATCTCCCCATCTAAACTGTTTTTCTGCAGACAGAGGCTGATTTAAGGAGACCCAGTAACCAACCATGATTACAGGACAGCTACTGTAATTAGGGAGAAATATTCATATTTCAAAAGGACTTTTTTTTTGTTTTCACAAGGATCTCTTTTCAGTTCCTTTAACTATCAGTGCTCCCAGCCCACATGATTTGTTTCATGAAAATCCAAACTCAAATGACACATTTGTTGTGTGAGATAGAGTGGGTGTGGGAGGCTAAAGATACATAGGGCGGGTTGGGGTCATCCCCTGACTAAGCGATGCCTGGAGGAGGTAAGCTGACCTGGAGACAACCTCCCAGAAACCCTTCATTTGAAAACTCCCTTCAATACGAAAAAAAAAATCAAGACGGGAAAAACCATTTTTTTTTGGTCAAAATATTATGATCCAGCAGCATATGTTCTGGCTATTTTCTTTCCTAATAAAAGGCTTGTTTATTGTCATGTAAACACAAGCTGTGTGCAGAGGATCAAAATATTTTAAATTATTAAAATAATTGATGAAAATATTCTGCCTTGGTTTCAGTTTGCCGAGACAAATATATCGAGGATGAAAGACACTATTATACAGATCAGCGAAGATGTCAGAAAGGTCCAGAAAGGCTATCATATCCATATAGTAACATAGTATTGTTCCTTTGTATCCTTAGCACCCAGCCTGTCACTTATTAAGTCATTAAATATCTAAAATTTCTTGAATAATGAAAAAGAGCTCAAATAAAGACGTATTTGTTCCTTCATTTTAAATAATTCTTTCATTTCTTCAGACCTTAGTTTGTTTCAGAAAGGATTTCAGGTAGAAATGAAAAGTGTGAAAGTTCAGGAATCTAAAAGACACGTGCGGCTCTGAAGTCTGAGGTTACTAATGTCTCTGTAGTGTTAACTGTCGATGTTCACGTGAGGCAGCAGGAGGGAAAGAGAGATTTAACTATATGTCTGAATTTTAATGTTTCTTTAAGATCTTAGAGTTATTGCTAATGAGCAAAGGAAAAATGACTAGGATACATGCATGATCTGAAGGCTCTCTGAAACTTAAAGAAAATTCACCATTAAAAAATGTGTGTGTGTGTGTGGACTTCTGATGGGACCTCCCAAAGATGAGGTCAGATGGTGACTAGGCTGTTTAGGAAGTCAACTGGAGTCAACAAATATTTAGACTCTACTTGAAGCAAGGCATTCAGAAAAGATATGTGAACAGAGCACCTGCCATACTCCGTGCTGCCCTACAATCTAGTAATTGGCATGAGATGAGCACACAGGTGACCCTCATGGTGAGTAGTCCAAGTTACAGCTACAAGAAAGGCAGAGACAAAGCAGAAATCATGGTGGGGCCCAGTGAGGCACAAAAAAGGTTCATGGAGATGAGCTAGGTGTTAAATAATGAACTGGATTCTGATACTTAGAAATGGCGATTTGCTTAATGGTAGAACTGATACATCTTTAAGATGCGTTTGGTGGAAGGGGCATACTGCTCTGACAATCTAGGTGAGGAAGCTAGTGAAGTTTATTCAGAACCAGCATAATACAATTTATTTCAGGAGCTTACCTATTTGCTAAAAATTTCTCTTCCTCTGCTTCTCTAGGCAATGAGTTTGAGCCAGTTGGCTGAAAGCCCTTCATAGCAAAAGTAGCTAAATGTGACGTGTGACATGCTTGGAAATCTTTCAGGTTGAATGGCTTTGAAGAAGAGTCAAATACCATCCGGGTGTAACTTCTGAGCACAAAAATTTGGGGTGATGTGATTGAATGTTTCTAACCAAATGCTACACTATAAAAGCTCGTTGCACACTATTGTCCTCTGAAAAAAGCCCAAGGATGGCTCTGGGAAACATGTGGATCTATGTGTGAGTTCGCCAGCTTTTGTTGATTACTTGAACAAGCTTACTATGCAGCCTAAATTCTCAAGCAGTGGGTTTTTTTCTCCCTTTCTAAGCCTCCCCCTGTGCACCATGTCAGTGCGATGTGAAGCAGGGAGGAAGAAGGAGAGATCAGGTTCCAGGCTTGCCAGGTGTGTCAGGGACTTTCCCTTTGAGGCTTCCAAAGCATTTACACACTTGACATGTAAACGTTCAGATGCTGCTATACCCCAGATCTGTCTTCTGAAAAAACATGCTGTAAGATCCTCTGCATACATAGCACGGTGACCTCCTTTAGACTAAAGCTGCAAGGCTGTGTGTGTGTGGGAGGTATATAAACTTCTAGATCTGGAGGTTTCACCAAGTAATGGTTTCAATAATAATCAGACTATGGAAAAAAATCTGGTATACTTTCAAGCTTATAAACCAAATCAAGGTATTAATCTTTCTCATTTTATACCTGGGGTTCTAAGACCAGGGCCGAAAACACATCTAACATCTTGAGCTAACATTTTTCCACCTGATTTTCTTCTCCCTGGTTCTAGGAGGAAGGGGTTGTGCTACTGAGGCAGGAGATGCTTATCTGGCTGGCTGGTTGGCTACCTGTTTTTTCCATGAATGCCTTGTCTAAAGTGATGATTTCTAGGTAGGCAAAGGGACCTGGGAAAGGTGTGATAACTCCCAAGGCTCTGCAGGGGCCTGGGTGCTTCACAGCGACTCATCCCACTGGACGAATGGGACCCTTTCCTTTAGAGCTACCAGGTGGGAAATAGCGAGGCTGGCAGGCTGCTGTGGTGGATCGGGGAGCTCCTGCCAAAGACACTCGCAGGCCCATGTGCAGCCCTGGGTCGTAATGGAGCAGCAGCAGCAGCAGGAGAAGCGCATTGCTCTGAGGCTCCAGGGGTTCCACGCTGAGCCGGACAGAGGTGCTTCCCCTCGGCCGGCCTCTCTGTCTCTTTATTGGGCTCAGCCAGAGTCTGTATTTTGTTCCTTCTCGAGTCAGCAACGGCACTGATCCTATAGACACACAGGATTGGGTTTCCTGGCTCCCCAGCTCCCTCCCTAATTCCTTTCCTCCCAGCCTGCCAGACCTGTGCTCGGTTCCCAGACAGAAGGGGCAAGATAATGAATCTAGAGTACACCTGGATTTGAGACAAATTGCTGGTAAATACCCATTAAAATAAGTTTAATCAATTTATATTTTTCATATTTTGCCAAGACCAAATCACCAGGCACTGTTTGTTCTTGGAAAACAATTGATGTAGTACATTTTAACCCCTCACAAAGGAATAGAGATTTGTCTTCCTTCTTTTAAAATTTATGACATTTCCTGAAAAGTCACTTTCCACTACTCACAGTCACAGAAATAGGTGTTAATATTTCAAAATACTTCCTAACAAAACTTTCATATTTCTTTAAAACACAGTTGACTTAAATTAAAACTTGTAAACACTTTAGAACCTGTAAGTTCTACATTGGTCCCTTCACAGAGGCAGCCAGTGACAGTCTGATGCCTCCTTCTGCCACTCGCTCTCAGTGTGACTTCAGAGAAGTCACCGCACTTGTCTAGCCCCAGTGTCCTCCTCTATCACAGGTGAATAGTCCTCCCCTCACATGACTGTCATCGGATCAGATGAGATAAAGAGCGTTTCGTGAATTATGAAGTACTACACTAATTTATTTATACCTCTTCTTCCTCCAAAACAGCACTTGAGGTGGGTCACAAAAATACATATGGTACAAGATAAAAACCAGTGAGTTTATCAAGGCAAGGAAATGAATCTACAAATTTAACGAAAAACATATAATTATAAGCAACAGCAGCTGAATATCGGACTTAGCCGGTAGGTCTCATCACTAAGTCTGGGCATTTAGTATACATTGCCCTCTACTGTAGTGTTGTAAAGAAATATAAATATAAAAGGAAACTGCATTCATAGTCCTTGCTTCTGGAAAGATTTAAAAAGTCTACACATTTCTCTCACACTTAGAAAGGCAGTAGTGAAAATGGGGCCTGTCAGGTGCCTGGCATCTGGGCCAGTAAAAACATGCAAGGCTGTATTAAGGGGCAATTTAGGGCCCATTATTTTAAAAAGTCTATCTTTTGCACATGTCTTTCTTGCTGACAAAATAACTAATAAAGGAAATGTCAGAAGATGAAGTTTCTCCACTCAAGTTTTAAAAGCGTTTGGTGGGGAGGGCACAGCTTAGGAGGTCCTGGGTTCAATCCCCAGTACCTCCATTTAAAAAAAAAACAAACCAAAACATTCTGTGTTATGAGGCACTGCTCTGAATGGCAGGGAGTGACTACAGACTAAGATAATAATACACAGACATCCTGACCTGCTCCAAAAATGGCTTAAAAAAGACAGAAGTGTATTTCTCTCCCACACTACAGTCCAGAGCAGGC